GCCTGGGTGCTGCATGGACCCTGGCCTCTGCTTGCAGTCTCCTGAGAAGGTAGGTCTCTGCACCTGTGTATTTGTGTGTTGTGGGTGCATTGTTGAAGCCAGGCCACTGGCTCCCTCCCCTGTCCTTCTTTCTCCTGCTTAAGATTTGTTAGCAGAATGTTGTCAGTAATCATGGGCCAACAGAGGAGGGCGAGGGTTCCTGCATCCCTCGCTGCCCTTGGCAAACAGGCAGAGAGCTGCCCCATGAGGCCAGAGCAGCAGCTTTGCTGGGGGCCAGACACTTCCAGTGGAGGCCCTACTTTCCAGTTGTTTCCCACAGTGAGCGAAATACTTACCCACTGCTCTTCCCCAGACTGCAAGCTGGTTGACGTGGGCAGTTTGTCTTTTGTGCCCTTGACTTTGGATTTCCAGACAGTCCTATCACTACTTCATCCTTCTGTAGGGACTTAATTAACCCACTGGTTTTGTCATTCCACTTACAGTAGCCTAATTTAACCTGCCCCCTCAACACTTTGAAATTACTCTCTCCAGTTGTGTGCAAGTCATGCCTTCAGCCCTGGTGGGCAGCACTTCTGAGCTGGCCTTCCTCACAGGGAGGCCCCTCCAGGTCCCCGCTGTGCCTCCTTTGAAGGCAGCACCCCCTCCCCCTGCCTCCCCGCAGTTGTTCCCCCCCGCAAAGCACTTTAAACTTCTCAGCCTGCACCCACCCTGCCGCTGGAAAGGCCTCGGTGGAGAGAGGTCCGAGCTCTGTTAGTTGGGTTTTGATTTCAGTACAGGAGTTGATAAAACGAGATAAACCACGAGATAAACCCCAGGCTCACAGGGCCGGGGAAATTAAACAGAGATGATATCAAAGTTCCCCTGAGTTTTCAACTGTGATACAGTAGCTTAGTTTTCTCCCAGACTGGGGCCGGGAGGCACGCCTTTGATTCTGAAACAATGTTCAGCATCAGTTAAGCCCAGCACCACTGACTTTTAGGGATTAAGCACACTGTTGTAGTAATTCTTTGATCAGCTACAAGGGAGCAGTGTGCTGTCTGTATGAAGGGGCTTTATAGTTAAAGTTCATTTCTCTGTGAACCTAGGATGACAGCATTGGCGAGGTGCTGCAGTGCTGGAAGCTGGGGCCTCCCCCAGGCGCTGTTTGCAGCATTGCAGGCACACGCTGGAAGGTTTTCTCTTACCCAGCGTTGTTGGATAGAACTCATTGAGCATGACACACCTCATCCTAACTGGCCCCATCTAGTCCCAGTATGTCTCTCTCTCTCTCATACACACACACACACACACAGCCCTGTGTCTCATACACACACACACACACACACACACACACAGAGCCCTGTGTCGGGGCAAACACAGGCACAGCTGCCCAGAGCGAGGCTGTGTAGCCCCCAGCCTTGGAAATGATCTGAATGAGGAGACTGGCTGCACACTCGGGGTACAGGCTGGGATGGGGATTGGGACCAGATGAGATTTAATTAAGAGGACTAGCTCAAGGTCAGTGTTGCCACTGCACTCTCCCCAAGCCCGAGAGCAGACGTGTCACCCGGGTGCTGCTACCATCTTCTTTCTTACCTGGCATCTACTGAGAACTGATTTAGTGGCAGGTTGGGTCAATCCTGTGGTTTTGAGAAAACTCAATATCCATTTTATTATCTAAAATATTGGGTCAATGTTTGGCTTTTCCTATGGAGACCCTCCTTGCAGCCACAGCTGGGATAGTAGAAGTTTCCCCAAATTGCCTCCCCTCTTCACTCCTGGTTGGCTCTGTGACTTCCAGTTGGTAATGGAGCCCCGTGTACCGTCGATCGTGCTCACACCGGGCCATACATCAACCTATTCCCTCCTGTGCAGGACTCAGATCTCCCTCATTAGGCCTAAATTTACCTCCATCCTACACAAACATGGCTTTAGCTCATTTTTATTGTTGTAAATTATTTATGAGGGAAATGTTGAATCTTGAAACTGAGGTGTGAGGAAAATTAATCCCATGTTACTTCTGTCTTTTTGTACTTTTCTCCCCCTTGCTTCCCTTATTGGGCTACAGCTAGACAAAGAGGAGTTTTGGCATTTTAAAATATAGTTGGTGTTGAAACTGCTTTCTCTATCAGATACTGAATGGGAAGGTGGTCTCTGCTCAGTGTTATGGAAAGCAGACCAAACTGAGGAGGGAGGGCTAGAGGTCCGGATCAGCTCTGCTGTCTGCTGGCTCGTTTTGTCTGAGAACTCTGGGCCTCTGTTTTCTCTCCTGTAAAACAGGAACAATACACCCCAGCCACCTCCGAGGTTTGCTGTGAGCATCACTTGAGAAGGAGCCAGAGAAAGCTTTTTGAGAATTTGAGGGTACTGTTCAGATGCGGGGAGGTGTTAATGGGTTCTGTGTGCATCTAAGATTTGGAGATGGAGGTGGGTGCCGGACGAGGAATTGGGAGGAATTGCCAAGGATGAAACCAGTCGTTCCAAGTAGGCCTTAGCATTTTCTGCTTTAGCCCAGCATCGCCTCTTGCCAGACAGGTTAATGTTGGTCTTAATCACCCAGCTCCCCCGCTCCCCTCCCCGGGCAAGTTTGCTCCGCAGACCCGCATTAATGGCCTCTTCTCCCCCTCGCAGAGGCCTGGCCTGTGACCCTGGGCAGCCGAGTACTCAGTGGTGCCATCCCTTCTGGCTCGAGGCTCCACACCGCCCGGGAAACGTGGAGTGCTAGTTAATAAACGGCCTTTTGTTAGGAAGGTCAATTGAAGTGACGGTAGAGACGCTGTTAAAAGTAATTTGCAGTCAGAAAATATGTAATTCAGGGCAAGCCGCTTTGAGTGATTGCCTCTGCCATGGATATCTTGGGCGTCTCTCATTAAAAGCTTCCTTTGCTGGTGGTGGTGCTTCCTCCGCCGAGCCGCCGCGGCCCCGCGCAGCGAGGAGTCATTTGTCTGCATTTCACAAAGGCTGCTTGATCCCCGGGGTACCGCCACGGCGGGGGGAGGGGGTGAGAAAGAAGGAGGCGCGCATCCGAGAT